AGAGAGAGAGAGAGAGAGAGAGAGAGAGAGAGAGAGAGAGAGAGAGAGAGAGAGAAGGACCGTGGGCCGGCTCGGTTTCACGAGGGCCTCACTCGTATATAAGCCGTGAAACGAAAACCGAAAGGTCGTTAGGCAGGGGGCGAACCTTTTGTCGCTCCGTTGCCGACGCCGAAACCGCAAAACGCCCCGGCAACCCGTTTCTTCTCTCTGGTCGCCTTTTTCTCTCATCTCAGCGGCCGAGGAGGACGTGCGGGGTCTCCGACGTCGCCGCCGCGTTGTTTCGCCGTGTACGAGAGTACGTGAGACAATGTCGTGGGACAGCCGCCGCCACGCCGGGCTGCGCGAAAGACGAACGAAAGCGCCGCGGAGAAATGATTTACGTCTCGGTCATGGCCGCCGATTGGGCCGCCGACTCGGTGTCGATGAGTTGCGCGCGAAGCCTCGTGGTCGTCATCGGCGAAGTCCCGTCGTCGAGGGCCTGGTGCGTGCATACCTGCGGATCCAGAAGCGGATCCGGTAAGCCGCGTCAAGTGTCATCGCGAAGGTGCCTTCGTGGAAGGATTTCATGGTTTTTCGGCGGACAGCAGTCTTTCGACTGAATTTCGCGGAAAGGGATTAGAGATGAAAAAGAAATAAAGGACAGGGGATAAAGGGCGAGATAAAATAATAAATGAAACAATGAAAACGAAAGAAGTTAGTAAAAGAATAAGAGAAATGCTTTAGAGAGAGGAGTGAGAGAGAGAGGGAGAGGAACAGAGAGATGTATAAAGAGGGAGAGAACGATCTACACGATTACAATTAAGGTACAGTAAAAGTACCTGAACACTAATAAAATCGGTACTTATATCTGGACATTTTTATTGTTTTGGTTTTTAAATACGAATATTTAAACTTTCAACGTATAGAATATATGTATACATCAACATATGTATATATATTCTGTGTTGAAAGTTTTAAAATATTGAAAGTTTATATATATTCCACTAACTAAAACTCTCTACCCGGTGTTATCTGGGTTATTACAAAGTCATCAAGAAGATGAGATTAGAGGGAAAGGTTTGCGGTCCTTTTTAGGTTGTATGTAGCTTATATTTTCCGTTCTAGAGAGTAATTTTGGAAAATTACTCCAAATCGATCAAAGAGTTTAGGAATGTACAGAGAAGAAACAGAGACAGACAATTATACATATTCAGTTATACCATTGAAATATATATATATATATATATATATATATATATATATATATATATATATATACCTTGTTGAAATATATATATATTTATGTATATTCTATGCTGAAAATTTAATTATATTCGTATTTAAAGACCAAAACAATAAGAATGTTCAGAGTTAGGTTAACATTGTTATTAGTGTCCAGATATTGATACTTTTACCTTAACTAAATTTTCAATTTACCAAATTTCACGGATATACATTTTAGGTATACATTTCTTTCGTCATTTTTTATCATCCATCATTTATAATTACCTTCCATACTATTCCTTATCGATAACTGTAAAACAATATGTTGGAATGAAGATTCGAGCGTCGTTCAAAATCTTTATCGTGTTGAGAACGAGTTTTGACGCGCAACTGGGGGCAGGATGTTGACGCGAGCCTTCAGGATGATTTCGGGTCGATGATTAAACGACACGACCGTCTTGATGCTCGACACTTTTTCAACATTAATCTCTGCCATCCGCTCAGCCATTTGTCGGTTGTCGAATCCGTGGCCATCGTTCTCTCGGCGCGAGCCGAGAGCACGGTAATTATGTTCGTAGAGACAATTAATATCCGGAGACACCTATCGCCATTTTTTCGGCGGTTCCCGCCGTAAAATATATTGCGCCCCGTTAAAAATATTCCAGGCACAACACCGTCATTAAATATAGGAAGCAATAGTCGACTTTTAAAAATAACGTTCGCCGCGCGTTTACTGTCACATGAATATTTTACGGTTAAAAACATTAAATTACTTTACAAAAGAACATGTGTGATTATTTAGCGAATTGTTTCTGGCGAGTAATAATTATTGTACATCGATAAAAAATGATCGGTAGAACAATAGCGTTAATGAATCGCAGTTTTTTTAATTAACTAAGTGCAGTTATCAATATTCAAATATAGCAAGTAGCACAGCAAATATCGAACAATTGCTGATCCATCAAGTATTTTGCGCTGATCTTCCTACCATCAATGAGCGCAATTCTGCTTCTTTTCACACGAAAAAGTACAATAAAACATTATTTAAAAATTATAGATTCACCTTGTTTAGATATTAATAAAATATACAGTGCGCGTAAATTTAATTCGCGATCTGTCGTTGCATGCTTTATATAAAATCGGATAGCCGATCTTCGAATAAGAGAACAACTTCACGATTGCACGAGAGCGAAACTACATGAGAAAAAGTTTGTTTCTCCAAGTAAAATTACAAGAACATTTCTTTTAGTTACAAAGGATTCTCGTAGTATATAATAAAGCAATATATTTATGTGATATTTACGATACTTATATAACACATTATTACTTTTAGGGTAACTAGGTATATCTCTCCAAACTATTATAACTCGTTAGTAATAATTGCATGATATTTCTATTTGCTCATGTGCAAGAGTGAATAATGTCGATTGTACGAAAAAACGATCGCCGTTGTTCTCGAGGTCGGCGGTTCGCTCGTCAATGTTATTAAAAGGCCGGATTCTGGCATCGTTCACGAGCAGAACCGTCCAACCTGTCGGCAGGCGGCGACTCGCTGATGGGCTCAGGTTCGGAAGACGAGGACGAGGACGGTAGTGCCCACCATCATCATCACGATACGGCGGTCCGCGGCGCTCACCTGGGGCCCCACAACATAGGCCCGGGTGGTCCGGGCGACCAAACCGTCGGCCACGGCGGCGAACTACCTCTCGGGAGCGATCCCTGCAAGCAGGAAGACTCCGAGGATCAAGGTAAGTTTTGCTTTACTTGTCGAGGATACAACGACGATATGATGTGATGTGCAGTGGTAGCCGAAGAAGCTCGCGCAATGTACCTTGCGATTAATTATCCCGTAATCGTGCAGGTTATGATAGTCTTGTACACTGAAAGAACAAAATAGTTGGAATAACTATAATCTCACTATATTTTATAGTTCGTTTTGACCTCAAAAATATATTTATAGTTCATCTAAACATGAAAATATAGCAGAATGAACACAGATTTATAGTCACCATTTTATTACTCTATGTGTATAGTAAAGCACGCTTGGGGAATATAGTTACATGTACCTATATTTGCCAAATATTCCAATTGTATTGACTATATAAAATAGTTAATTTCTCTTACCATTCAATATTTGCTATCTTACTATATTTTTTATTTCAAATAATTATAATTCTTGGTAAAAGTTTTACATGGGTCAGTTATACTATGTTTATATTGTAAATATTACAAACATTATGGTGACATTTACTATAAAAATGATATTCCTAACTATGACCTTTTTACGCCATTATAGTTCCAAATATCATACATTTTTCTCTCAGTGTGGCGATGTGTGCTGTTATGTGCTTATATATTAAATCAAAATGAACAAAAAAGTCCTTTTTATCATTTTACAAATAACCACATAGATTTTTAATTATTAAGGAAAAAGAAATGTTACATGATTATGCGCGATATTGCACAAAGCTTTTTTAATTAATATCTAAAAATCTATATCATTTGCAAAATGGTAGAGAACTGTTTTGTTCACACTGAGAGAAAAAATAGCTGGAATAACTATAATCTCACTATATTTTATAGTTCGTTTTGGTCTCAAACATATATTTATAGTTCATCTAAACATGAAGATATAGCAGAATGAACACAGATTTATAGTCACCATTTTAATACTCTATGTGTATAGCAAAGCAGGCTTTGGGAATATAGTTACATGTATCTATATTTGCCAATTGTATTGACTATATAAAATAGTTTATTTCTCTTACCATTTAATATTTGCTACCTTATTATATTTTTGTTTCAAGTAATTATGATTCTTAGTAAAAGTTTTACATGCGTTAGTTATATTATGCTTATATTGTAAATTATTATTATTACAAACATTATGGTGATATATACTATAAAAATGATATTCTTACTATACTCTTTTTACTACGTCATTATAATCTACGTCATTATAATCAACTATAATCTTTTTACTATGTCATTATAGTTCGAAATATCATACATATTTATTGGAATAAATATTTATTGGAATAAATTTCACTCAACAACAAATGTTCTTCTTTCTCAGTTGCATAAATGTTTTAGTTGCTTTATAAACGTTACTTACTTATGACTACACTGAGGCAAAAAGATGATTAATTTCACTAAAATTATTATCATTTTCTAAACGTATTTTGTTTTTATTATTCTAACTGCTGCAATACCTGCTGATATTATAATAGTACTCGCTATAAAACTGAATTTCCCGATTATAATTATTTCATTATGCAGTTATAATTACATTAGAGCAGTTATTATTAGATGCAGTTATAATTACCAAACACTTCTCTTAGTGTAGTCTTGAAGACTGGTTTAAGTTCCTTTGAATATTTGAATCGTGCATGCTTGTGAGGAATATACATGAGAAATACTTTGAAACTGAGCTAGATCAAAGTACGGACAGTTTAGCGCAATAATTACCGAGTGAAATGAGAACGTCTTTATTAGGCGGCGCGAAAGACAGGAGATAAACCTCGCCAAAAAATAGCGAAAGAACATAAAGCAAAATCAATATCGCGCGACGAAGCGTAAACAGTACGCTTGAAATATCTAAGCTATCATCTAGATTAGAGCGATTAGACATTCCATGTGTAGATCATATATACACGTACACACACACGCATCCAATAACCAGCATACCACACGTGAATAAACTAAGAGCGCGCTCACCCCGTGAACCGCGGCGCAGTCCTCGAAACTCGATCAAGAGCAATCGATTAACGACATGATCGGGACAGTCCCCGTCACCGGGGTGGCCGCGGTTGCGATCGATCTCGCGTCACCGCGTCACTGCGTCACCCTGTATTCGCCGCGACTACGAATTCGCGGCGTCGCGAAGCCGTGAATCGTTGACGAGGCCGTCAGGAGCCATTATATCTGTTTCTGCTCTTTTATCACGCGCTCAACAATCGGCCCCAACCATACTCCACCTTGGCGGCTCACCCTCACACGAACCTCGTGCACTACGTAATACAAGCGTCCTCGTCCCTGCTCTTAGAGAGGATGACGGAGGGGGCGTCTTCACGAGGGATGGCCCCCCTTGTGCGGTGTGACACTGTCCAAACATTTTCTTTGTCCCGACGGTTAAGACCTACCCGGTGTATTATATATATATATATAGGTGTATAGATTACCGTGCAGAGTCGGGGTCTTATGTGCGCTCCTGTATGTGTGTATGCTGTTGTGCGTGCCTGTGTGCGTGTTCCCGCGCGCGTACGTGCGTATATGTTTGGTACTGTGTGCACGCGCGTGTGCGGGGTACGGCTTTCAGCGCGCGGCAGCAGCCACGATAATCCGATGGGGGTTTCGCATCGCTTCCGGGGGATTGGCTTCGATTGTTGTTACCTCGATCCGGCCGATGAAGATACCGGGATACACGGGGTGTCCCAGACCTACCGCGCGACCTCTTAGCCACGATTATCCCTCAGCGAAAGTTCAACGTGGAACCCGCGTCTGTTGCAGTCGCAACTCAAATTTTTATTAGTTTCCATTGATTTTTCAGTTTCAATTTTGCGTTGCTCTTCCTTGTCTCCAATTTAAATAACAAATGCGAATTCAACTAAAAGTAATGTTGAATATAGGTTAATCGGGAGGTTCTGCAATGTACTGTTGGTTGTCTCATGTCAGAATTGTCTATTGGTTAATGTTACAAGAAACTAGTTAGAATATTATTTGCTTAAACTGATATTGAAATCTATTACGATTACGAAGCACTTATCATTTTATTTTTATATTTTAACATTTGCTGAGTATATTGTATACATTGCAGATCCAGGTGTTATTTTTAAACACATAAACGTGTAATTTGATCTTTTTACACGTTTCTTACCGGTTTAAATTACGTCATTTATATGTTTAAGATATATATTAAATTGTAATTTAATACGTTTATAACGCGTTAAGTGACACGTCACTTAAAAAGAAATTCAGCAAAAATAATCCACTTGGGTTTGCAGTGTATGTGTGCACGCCTCTGAAAAATATTTTCGATCTTCTCGGTTAACGATGTGTTTCTAAAATAATTTCAATGTTACGATAGATAACAGATATTACGATAGATAAATGTTAGGATAGATTGCAACTCTTCGATGGGCGTTACTTAGAAACTCCCGTAACGAAATGATGACTCGGGTCTTACGATGACAAGTTATTTCTGGGTTACCGGCCAGTCACGCGTCAGCGGATACGCACAGTTCGGGATTAAGAAACCGACTATCCCTTCGCTGTCTAGCAGCAACTGTATACTAGACATGCGGCGTAATGCTATAGAAACGTAACGTCAACCTTCTTTTTCATGAGACGTTGGCACTTTCAGCGCCGGTCCCAGTAAATTGCACACAAGCAACTAGGATTGAGGAGTGCGATTGTCGCGACAAGTGCGCGAATATTAAAACCAGATCAACTCTAGTTCAGTTAATTCTCCCATTCTATTTTCACGATTAAGAGCACAATTTGGAAAAGAATAGGATCAATCAATTTTATTTGTGTATTCGGCTTTGACAGTATTCGAAAACGCAAAATGCGATCAGTCATTTCAGAAAAGTCATATTTTTAGCTCTTTCAAAATTTGATTTCCTACATTATCGTGTCACATTTCACATCGATAAAAAGTAGATATACATCTGTATTACAAATGTAGATATTGTACCATCTCCGCACTGCACATATTCGACATCGCATTTAAATCGCATTTAAATCGTACAGATATTCGCTCTCATTTATACGGTACATCGAATTACCTCCGCTCCATCCGAGACATCCACTCTATCATTCACTTATCACTCTCACGCGCCCGCGAAATTCTCCATTACGGGAGATATGGCCTTTTCGCAATGACTGATTTCGCCGGCACTTGTCGGCCGGCAGTCTTATGAAATAGGCCGCGGGCGGCGGTGATAGTGATGGTGGTGGTGTCGGCGACGGCGACGGCGGCGGCGGGCGGTGGTAGTAGTGGTGGTACGATTGTGATGCGGCAGTTCGGCTTCGATCGGTTGAAGGTTCCCTGGACGGCGATCCCGAGACGAGGGACAGCCAGACGGAGAACAAGAGCCCGGACGGCGGCGCCGGCGGTGGCAGCGGCGACGGCGGTGCCGGCTCGAAGCGACGAGGCCCGCGAACGACCATAAAGGCAAAGCAACTGGAGATTCTGAAGTCGGCCTTCTCGTCAACTCCGAAGCCCACCAGGCACATCAGGGAGCAGTTGGCGAAGGAGACCGGCTTGCCCATGAGAGTCATACAGGTGGGAAAGCTTCTCTTTTTCTCTCCCTTGACGTTTTGCTCGCGACTTTATGGAGATCGAGAGACGTCCGATAATGTATTCCACGTACGAAAAAGAGAAAAATAGGAGGAGAGCACCGTGCGCGTTTACAATTTAATATACGTCATGACACTTCAGAGAGAGAGAGAGAGAGAGAGAGAGAGAGAGAGAGAGAGAGAGAGAGAGAGAGAGAGAGAGAAAAAGATAACAAAATAAGAAAGAGAAACGCGGTCCCGTAAATAAATATGACGTAAAAGTTCGAGATAATAATAATAATATTTAGGTGTATGAACAGTCGATAGCTAGTATCACTGTAATAGACCAGGAATGGAAATAGAGGAGAGAAAGAAAGGGGTTGCCGTTGAATAATTCAGATGATTAAACGGTCTTACGACCACGTCTGCTTTCCAGGTCTGGTTCCAGAACAAGAGGAGCAAGGAGCGCAGGCTGAAGCAATTGACGTCGATGGGCAGGAACCCCTTCTTCGGGGGCTCGCGCAAGATGCGCGGCTTCCCGCTAAACCTGAACCCGGGTGCACTTGGCGGAGAGGACGGCCCGCCGCCTGGCTTTCCTTACTTTGGCGCGGACAAGTTCGAATTCGGCTATGGAGGCCCAGTGGCCTTCCATCACGAGTTCTTCGGCGCGCATCCGCCCCCGCACCCGCACGGGCCGCACTTCGCTGGCACGGGAAATCCAGGTAAGTTCGATTGAAAGCCAGTTGTTGAAGAGAGGTTGTCGCTATTGTCGTGTCTATTACGTAGTCTGTGATAGATATGCTACAGCGCCAATGAGACGCGCGAAAGTGCAAAGTTATCCGATTGAAATAAGTAAGATCGGAATAAGTAAGAGAAGAAAAAGGGGGAACTGAGATCAATTAAATAAGGTTCGGTGTGACGCAGTAAGTGGATTCACGGTGTACGCGTTAAAAGTCTGGAAAACAATTCGGCACGTGCGTCCAACGCTGTCATTATTCTCCCATTCAAACTTATTCGTCCAGCGCGCGACTCTTGTAGGTTATGTTTTTTTCTTGATTAGGTGTATACACCTTCAGAGCCTTTGATACATAGTTATCCGATTAATTCCTCATTCGGAGCGATATAGTCAATGCGAGAGCCCCCGAAAACTTCACAGCAGCAACAACGCGTGAGAGCGACATGAGATCGACAAACATCAGCGGTTTCGAGACCGCTTTTTGTCTGCTCTCGGCGCTGTATCGATTTTTTTCCTGCTGTTCCGTTGTTTCATTAGTCGCGTGGTTTTTCGTTTATTTTCCTTTCTTTCTTTTTGCTTTCAACGGCGCAAAAATTCGCGGACGCGGGCGAGACGCGTTCGCCCCGACTCGCGGCGATCGCGCGGGCAAAAACGAGCGATCCACGTCGAAATCCGGGGCCCGGAGTCTAGCGGCTTTTGCCCGGCCGGAATCTCGCGTAATTATAATAAACCTCGAATCAAGTAGGTAGGCCCCGCGATAATTATGACAGCCGGTTTCGGAGATGGCCGGGCGGATACGATCCCCTCTGAGAGCAGTACGTAATCTGTTTCTGACAGGCCTGGACCCGGCCAGTTTAGCGGGCATGGCAGCGGCAGTGGCGGTGGCAGGGGAGTACCCACCTCCGGGCGCGGGGGGCGGCCCTCCGGAATTTCTCACGGGGCCCCCCGGGCAGGGGCCCCCTGCGCCCACCGGCGGCAGCCCCGGCGAGTTCCTAGCACCTTCAGGTAAGAGGGAAATATCCCCACCATCTGCCGCCGAAAACCGAGCGAATCGCGACCGCCGATCTACCTTCGTGCGAGCCTACCCGCGGGCGGACTTTATGTTTGCGCCCGTGCCGATTTATTGGCGTTATTTTCGCGACGCGACGCTGGCGGTGGCGGCCGTTAATTCGCGGACATTTGGAGAAAATTGACGGGCTCCCACGACGAAGGGTAATTCTTGTCCCGCGCATGACTTACTTTCTCAGATCACGAATGTTCTTCCCTGCGGAAGATTGAAAGGGTTTCCAATCGTTCGTTTATCTAACCAAATCGCACTTTTGCATTAATATTACGCGTTTCATTGTCTTCCTCGATTGAACCCTTTACGTAAGCGCACTTGCGCACATTAATAGCCACGCAAGATCGAAGTGATATAATATTCACATCGCCATCGCGCGTCTTGTGCCATGTTTACTCCTGACGATTTATTATATACGCTTTTGTTAAGTCGAACATGCGGTATCGCACTTAATTAGGAACGCTTTTAGGTATCGAACTGTTTCACGTCATTCAACGTTTCACGTTGATACGAAAATTGCTGCTAACCTTTCTCACTCGGGATCATTTTTATCGTGGCATCGCGCGCTATTATTCACACAGTCCCGATGTTATTTCGTGCGCGAAAGATACGAAAGCGCGCGGTTTTCAGATAAATATAATTCCCCGCAACAAAGTACTGCAGCGTGAATGTCGTTTTCTTTGGAAGCATGACGCACGGGTAATTGACATCTGACAATCACGAAATGTGTGACCTTTCGCGATACGTCTAAGCCTAAAAGTACATTTTCTGCAGCTCACGTCGGCTATGCGTCTTGTCAGGCTGTCGCTGGCATATCACTCAAATCGAACGTCAATTTGTTTACGAAGGTGCATTTAATGACGCTCGTATTAATAACCACGACATGTATACTCGTGGAACAGAATGGTTAGCAACTGGCGCACGGTTTCTCTGCCGGCTCAAGCTCGAGCACTTTCCGCGACACGAAATATACAAATATACATATTTAGTCTTAATCTCTTATTTTGTCTAAAAAACGAGTCCCCAAAATTCTCGAAATGAGAGAGTTCTCAAAGTGAGAAATGCAAAAACTCGCGCGACTTTGTGAAGGCTAATTTCAATCACCAAGGTCGAGAATAAAACGCGAATTTCAGGTCTCACCGAGACCTGTCTCTATTCGCTGTCTTCGCAATGGAGGCAGAGGAAACTCGCGGTACAATGTTGCAAAGCGATTAGACGCAAGGAAGTTGCAAGCTTAGTAAATTGTCAAAATTGAGAATTGTTACTGATGGACTTGCACAGAAATTTAATTATTCTCAATCATTATTAGAATATTACTATTATTAATGATCATTTAGTACTCTTATTTATATTGTTGATTGTATTGTATCCTTTTCTAATAACTCTCAATTTTGACAGTTTGGTGAGCTCTCAATCTTATTGCGTCTAAACCCTTTTACAACCCGTTGTACGCGAAATCAAAAAGAAGGAAGCAACCTGCCGTTCTCGGCAGGCTGCTGAATTCACTTCGGAAATCTAAAGATAACAAAACGAGAAGTGTAACGCAATTATCGGGGCTGGTATTAATATTTATAAAGCGCCGGCGGCGGATTGTCTCGCCGACGGTCGCGCGTACTTTCGTCGGGACTTCCGGCCGCCGGTGAGTTGTTCGCGCTGCGTTCGCGTTGCGTTACTTCGCGTCGCGTCGCGTCCCGTCGCGTCACGTTGCGCCTTGTTGCGGGATTTAAATCTTAATTGGCATCGACGCCGTTTGCGTTCTTTTGTTCCCAGGTGGAGCGCAGGGTAATCCGAGCGGCGGCGGGAACGGCGGCGGGCCGGGCGGCGGCGGCGGAGGCGGCGGCGGGGTCGCGGGCGGCGGGTTCCTGGAGCCGCACCAGATGCAGAGCGAAGGGCTGGCCTGGTAGTACGAGTTTTAATTAACGTCCCTTATAATAATAATTCCGCCCGCGCGCACCAACGGAATCACGAGAGCGCCGCCGCGAGAACGGAGAGCGAGAAAGGCGGCGATTTCGAGTCCGAGGGCGACGGAAGGCTCGGCGCTTCGTTGCTTTCCTTCCCGTTGTTTCCCCTGGTTTCCTCTCTCCTTCTCTCTCTCTCTCTCTACTCTTTCTCTCTCTCCTTCTCTATCTCTCTATTATTCGCAATCTTTTTCGTTTCGCGATCGCGTTTTCGACCCGCGTTTCGGCCGTCGAGTCGCGGGTGTCGCGCGCCAAGTCCCGTGGATGACGCTCATCCTTTCTTGTAAGATACGGATACCGCGCACGCGAAGTGCGTTTGTCCTCGTCCCTTGATTCGTGGTTATCCCTTGGATCGTTGTCGAACGATCGACGTTATTATCTTTATTATATCGGCATCGCGACGCCGATGTTACTCAATTTTCATTATTATTATTATTATTATTATTATTATTAATTATTATATATTAATTATTATTATTATTATTATTATTGTGTATAAAATTCGAAGGTCCCTATCGTGTAATATTGTGCCCTCCCTGTTGATTATTTTTCGACGTTACTTTGGAGACACCCTGTAGATATCTGCTGTTGTACACCTCATAAAAATACACGTACACGCGTCGTTAAACACACATACACAAACACACGCCGTGCAAAATGTGACATACACACGTACACCGAAAAATGCGCATACACTCATACACCGAAGCGGACACGAGTCCACACTTCGACACGCTGTACTAATATTATCATTAAAGTATAAATATAAATAGGAACGTGTAATTTGTATTTGTTAAGGCGGCGAGATCGATGTAAATACACACGAGAAACACACGGACACACTCTATCCTCTCTCTTTGCTGAATGCGCGCGAGCCGATTTGCGAACGGCCGGACTTACTCTTAAACGCCATCGGAAGTAATATATGTGTATCGTGACGCAACGTACATACATACATCACACGCACGCGTACACATGTACACATAATACAGACACACATGCATACACGTACACGCAGAAACACGTACACCGAGTAAGGCAGACCGAGAAAAAGACGCGCCGCCGCGACGCATAACGATTATAAATATTATTATAATAAACCACCTCGTATTTCCGTATAGCTGTGCATTTAATTCCCTTCTCTATGTACGGACACCGCTGTGCGACACTTTTTCCTCGCTAATCGATGCGAGTGATGTCGCGTAGAGAGACGGAAGTGAGGAGTGTCTCCAAATCGATCAATTTGGCAACAGATTTGTAACATATTTGTTATATCGTGTTAATAATTTGTCGTATCTTTTCGAGAGCAGCCCGTTGATTGATGGTATTGCGATTTCCTTCGACGCATCAAAGACTCTTTGATTCATTCTTCGCGCATCAAAGACTCGAGTGAAAATATTGAGAACCGAATGTTCAATTCCGTTAATCGACTGAAAAATTGCCCTCGAGTGAGCCGAGTGACCGATTGACCAGTGATTGGTTGGCTAGTAATTATAGTCTTATACGGCAATATATTACGAATTATTAATAACCATATCAAATCGCTGATTCGAGGCAAAGTCGAGTAAAGTGAACCTAATCTTTCTGTTACTTAGAGGCCGTTACGTCGACACTGTTTTTCTCGGTTAAATCTTAAACGTAGTTACTCTAGTGCGTGGAACTAGTAGCGACGAGTTAGGCGAGCGAGGTTGCGACGGTATTGGTGCGACGAAGTTTTAGAGTTCGGGAAAGTGTATGAGTGCGTAACAACGATCGAATGTGTGAGATAACGACTGGCTGCGAGAAAAAGTCCACGATGACGGAAGTTAACGAGGTAAGTGACTGTTTACGTTTTTATTAACGTGCACGCGCGTCGGCGTCTTCGATTTCCACCGCTTATTACAACCGACAGACGTCGTTCAACGTCGTGTCACCGGCGACGTCGATTTCAGTAGCGTTGTCCTAACGAGCGGCGGCACGACGCTTGACCGCGCAATTCGATACGCGGCGATATATCGAGGATATGTCGCCGAGAAAGTCGCCGGGTAAACTGAGCGCTAGGCGTTAGATCGCGAGACCTCGAGCTGAAGATGAAGAGGTTATTAGTTGTCATGGCGAGATAGTTGGAAAGGATAGTTGGATAGTTTTATTAAAGGCGGCAGACGAAATTGAGGTTCTGTCAAAAGTGCGATCCAGCCGGCCGCTTTCGCGATCCCGGACTGTGCGAGACACCGTGCGAAAATATTAATGCGCTTGGAAACAAAATCAATTTTCTACAGTCCGAGATATGCAGTTTGTAAATTATGTCAGGTCTCTGCCTGGTATTTGCATACGCTTTGGGTAGCTTTCGTACACAGTTGTCGCATTTATATGCCGCCAATCAAGTGCGTCGCGTAACGTTACACACGCGTTACGCTGCACATGAAACATATATGCGTCGGCCGGTTCGCAGCGAGCACTTTTTTCGCGCGTCAAAAAGCGCGTTGGACTTATTCAAAAGGCAATCCGGCTAAATACCGGAATGACGTGCGCGAAAAAATTCAAAGCGAAAAGCCGGTATACTTGCTGTGTGCACGATGACGTAACAGAATTACAACAACGATGCCAACATCCCGCTACAAATCCGTCGTTGAAATTCCGCTGAAATTTCGTTAAATATGACACTCGCGCCCGTACACTCACACAAATTTTACATTTTAAAATAGCTTCTATACGACGTCATTACTAAAAACCGTAATATCGCTTGAAAAATATCAAGCTCGACTGATACCGAATTCATAGTCAAGCTTAAATATTACTTTGTAGAATTTCAATTTAATTTCTCATTTTCGTATTATTAATTTAAACAATTCTAAATTTGGATATACATACACTTCTTTACACTGAGAAAAAAATGTTTGATCCTTGTAATCATTTAGAGAAAGAATCACTATAAATTACGGCCAAGAAAACTATTTTTTATTAAATTCTACTATAATATTAGTGATAATAAACTTTGTATACATGTTACTACTGTCATTTTCGTGTTAGAACAAATAAAAAATATGAACTTGGAACCAAAAATAACTATAATTTTAGTTAGATCAATCATTTTTTTCTCTCAGTTTGGACAACATTCAAAATGCTTTTAGGAATGGATAAATTATCTAGAAAAAGTTTCATGACGATACTTCAGAATCTACTCATTTTTTAAATCGGACATTAAACATTTGCTTCTCCCATAAACTTGACAAACTCTCAATCGTCGAAGTAACCCAGCCATGAATTGACCAATTATTTACGCCGATAAAATTATGTCTGTATAACTACGTCCATGTCGTGATTACCATCATCGACTGCACGATTTGTTTTCATCTCGATCCTTTCTTCGATACCATTTGCCACTAGGAAAAAGTCCTCGCCAAAGGGTGGACGAGCTCAGGTGCCGGGCCAAATCCTTTTCCTTCCCCAAATCGACGATCGTAAACGCATCTGCGACCGGCGTCGCCCTGACGTCGTTAGCGGGTGCGACATCGTCGTCCGGGGAAAGAAAAGAAGGGAGGGTGCGGCATCGACCCGGACATCTGGTGAATTCGATTTTGATGTGTTTCTCTGCGCCCCCCCCCCCCCCCCCA